TGGGGAACGTCACTGCGCCGAGAAACCATTGAGTGTTTCATAGCGCCGCGATTTTCGTCGCAATATTAATTTTCTTATTACAGAGATTAAGGAATGAAACGGGGGTTGAAGGATGCGGAATTTAATTCTCCATCGAACAGCATTGGTTTCATTCCTTAATGTTAATTAGGAGCAGAGATACGATTTTTTAATTAGCGGGCGAGTTGTCGGGAGTCACTGCGCCGAGAAACCATTAGGTTTTTCATAGCGCCGCGACTTTCGTCGCAGTTTTTATTTTTTTATTACAGAGATTAAGGAATGAAACGGGGGTTGAAGGATGGGGAATTTAATTCTCCATCGAACAGCATTGGTTTCATTCCTTATTGTTAATTAGGAGGGGAGAGACGATTTTTTAATTAACGGGCGAATTATTGGGGAGTCACTCTGCGCCGAGAAAACATTGGGTTTATTATAGCGCCGTGACTTTCGTCGCAATATTAATTTTTTTATTGCAGAGATTAAGGGATGAAACGGGGGTTGATGGATGGCGAATTTAATTCTCCATTGAACAGTCTTTATTTCATCCCTTAATATTAATTAGTCGGCGAATAAATCAACTGAAAAACATAAAGTAAACATTGAGTACAAGGAGGACAAAAATTACCCTCTGAACCTGTCCCTGTCACAGCGGGACTGCTACTGCCGAGTTACTCACGCACCCGACTCACATTTACTGACAATTCGACCGAGACGCCGCCTTTCCCGTGGGGTACCAACTAACATTTTTGGAGTCAGTCAAACCCCCCGATCCGGGCCTCTACTCAGGTCTATCCTCTTTGGCAATGACTCTGAAGATAACATCATGTGGCAATTTATTCGAACGACACTCTATTTGTGTTTCATACGTTCATGATCGAACACGTCCGTACGACTTCGACTTTCGGTGAATCGATTCGACATTCTTCAATTCGAGTTTTCATTCGGCAGCCATTATGCTTTCCTTTATATATAAGGATCCACGGTAAGAATTACCTTTTATCCATGGTAAAAAAAATGGGCCTAACGTACCCCACTGCTTGCCTTATATCGACGGTAGAAATTACTATATATCCACGGTAAAATATACCCTATATCCACGGTAAAATTTACCGTGGACCGTGTGAATAGAGACTGCCAAAGATCTAATCATTTTAAATTGTTCCTTCTAATGAATCGTTTGTTCGTGTTCCTCCCTAAGACACTGCTGAGGTAATCGATAGGTTGATCCTTTCAATTGGTTTCCTCTCAATCGTTAAAAGAGAGGCATATACTATAGCACCAAATTTTACTACCAGCAGCTATAGTTCGTGATTTACTATGCAGAAGTATTTTTGGAGCGGAATCCGTTCCGAAGGCTGTTTAATAATAATTAGTTCATCGTTGAATAATAATAATTATATTGACGACAATCATCGATGATTACTATTCAGCCGTGTGACAGTGTTTCCTCTCAATGAACTCTATCGACGGATATGTTCAATTACCGCCCTTTGAACATTTACAATATTGTGCAGCAGTATACTATAGTAACGAATGTAACAATATTACATGAAAAATCACCAATAGCGATTAATGGAAGAATTAATTCATGGAAGAATAATCCCCTTGACGTGTGAGATTCATTGATGAAGCATTATGGCGACTCCATTGGTTTTCTAGAAGAAAACTCCGGGGAAAATCAGCAGTGAACGATGAGGGACATTCTTCGGACAGAGTGAGGTGGTAAGTAATTGTTGGTTTATTCCTGCATTCGAGGGCTCTCAGCCCAGGTAACTAGCATTAGGATTTTATCCCCATGGACTTTATCCCCATGTATTCAACAGCATAATGAAATAACTAACCTAACTTGAGCATAAGATTTTTATAAATATTGCAAAGCCCTGTGAAACAATTCTATTCTTGGGAGAAATTTATTGACATTTAAATTTTATAATCTAACAGTCTTTCAACTGGTGGATCAATCAACAGGATTTGGTCCTTAGGCCTATGGAAAATTTTTAGACTTCTCTGTTACACCACTGAGTTCCAGGTAGATTATTCAGCACATATCTCAGGGACTGATGAGTTTTTACAAAAACGTGCTATCTTGACATTTTACGATGAATCCATCAGTCTCAAAGATATTTATCAAATAATCTGTATACATTTTTGTGACTCATTTCGTTCCATTATCTCTTTACAGGAAATTATTATCTTGTCGGCATATTTTTGGTAGATTCTCTGGAGATGAAGGTTCTACTTGAGCAGTAGTTTCACTTGACATTGACTCTGACATCAGACTCCATCAGAATTCCCCAGACCTTCAATGAAATCTTTAGGCATAAACAAACCTAGAGAATTGTCTCTCATTGTAGACATTATTCAACCGCTTTGATTGATCCAGAAGCTTACAAAATGTTTCAGGATAGACGTTCAACCCTCAGGATTACTTCGGGTCATTTCAATCAAGTATGGTTTATGTTAGGATCAAGTAGTTTTCACGTGAATCAAGCTTTGAATTACTTNAGACGTTCAACCCTCAGGATTACTTCGGGTAATTTCAATCAAGTATGGTTTATGTTAGGATCAAGTAGTTTTCACGTGAATCAAGCTTTGAATTACTTAAATCATGAATTTCTCATTTTTGGCCAATTGTATTCATTATTTCACAAAGGAACCAAATACTGAATACGTTTTCATTAATCAGTCATGAATACGAAATACTTTTGCATTCATTATTTATTGAAGTACTAAATATTAAATACTCAAAATTGAAATAATTAGTATTTAGACGTAAATAAAATATAAAATATTTCAGTATTTAAATATTTAGCATTTTATGAATACTTTTTTGCCCAACATTGATTTTTTTGTAGTTGTCCCTTAACTTGACGAGAAAGGTCCCCACAAATATTCCGCTATCTTTTTCGGATTTCAAGATATTCTTCGCAAATTGGATTAGAATTCACTAATGAGATTGCGTAACGCGATGGAACATGATAATTTCTCACATCTTGGTAAATTTTGAACTATTTTGATAAAGAATGTTTTTAGAGGCAAAAAGGTTTTCTCAAAACCTACCAGTTTCAAAGTTATGTTATATGGAATGTTGATATCCTGTGGAATGTTGAATTATGTTGATGATGAATGTTCTCACAGGATAATCTCACGAAAGAATTCTTGCTGAGAATGTTTGGATCTACAGGAACTTTTACTTGGCATATTCTCCTAAAATCACTCATTTTCCAGGTGAATGGACAATTTACAAGCATCAATGTCCAGTACGCTGCAGCATTTTATAGCAGAACTTGAATTTTGGTTTGCCCGTGCCTTCATAGAATAGTCCATAAAATGAACTGATGAGGTGATTTTTTTCCGAATTTTCAAACCGTTTTTAGGGGCAGCACGGGTGAGTCAAAGTTTGACAAGAATATCTGACCTACTGGCAGTTCATAGTCGTAATGCTTGGTGAAAAGTCGAATGGTTTTATGACCTTAGCCAGGTAGCAAAAGTTTCGGTCCGGTGCAATGAGGACTGAGGGTGAGGATCTTCCAGGTATACATGAAAGCCATGAAAGATCTGCCGTCGCCTATATAGTCAAACTGAAGAAACTGATGTAGCCCCGGTTTTCAAAAGTGGGGGACAAGGATGTGAGTGGGAATTGAATAAAGTGGGGGTAACTCTAAGGGCGATATTCTCCTCAGTTTTAGTATACATTCAACTGAATTTCGTCTTTTTTCTTGCCGGTTGGAGTCACATCGAAATTAATATTTTAAGATTGATTTTTTTTCTCAATTTCGCTTTCTTCCTCACTGATGAATTCTTCATCGAGAAAAATTAGATTTTTGATGGAAGTAGGAAATAAATTGTGTATTCCTTGACTTAAAATTTCTAAATTTTCAAGGCGATAATTAATTGAAATACTCAAGCCGATAATTCAAGTTCAAATCTGGTAATTCGATAAATAGTATTAAAGGATAATTTTCTGGAATTTACGGCAATTCATTGAACGAAAATTTGGCTCCAAAATTTCACAGAATTCTCCTCTGAATGGAAATTGATGAGTTCGTGACATTTACTTGGGCGGTGCACGGGCACACTTTACCTGAAACCTTTCAGACTAATTTTGAAGCAATTTATGATGCGAGAATGCTCATTTCTTGTGCGTTACTCATCTCTGGGGGGGAAGGGGGAGGGGTATCTTCGTACTTTGTCTTCCTCAAAAAGGAATAACTATTCATAATTTTGTCGCCGGCATTAAGGGTCAGTTGAAGAAATACTTCTGAACAGACGACATCGGTGCAACTTTTGCGTTAAAATCTCCTTCCTTCAATAAATAATAACAAAGAAGTGCGCTCAAATATGGCAACAACCCGACAGACTACCGAAATTGCATTAGTTGGTAATGCAACGCCGGAAATCAATTGCGTTTGTGGAACCCAATTGCCTTCGAATAAGCAGGTTTTGAAATGCTATTTTTTCTATACGAGACATGCCTCACCACAACTTTCCGGTCATGAAGCTGCAACATGTGTTGTGCGAAAGTGTGCAGTTTTTTGGAACTATGCAGGGATTCCAATCGTGAAAGAGTGCCATGCGATTGCGAAAATGGAAAAATTAGTGAACGAGTACAAGACCATCCTCAAATACGGCGCCCGGAAAGGAACAAATGATAATGTTCGGTCGAAGGAGGTCGATTTTCAATGTACGTTGAATGACTTATTCAATATTGCACATCAAAGCCAAGTCAATGCTTTGAAAAATGAAAATGCTAAAAATTTACTGGATCTGCATGAAGACAAGGAACAACGAGGTTGTTTGGAAGAAAAACTACCATGGAAACAGGAATCATTCGTGAAGAGCTCACTAAAGAGGAAGTAGAAAGAAGCGAGCCAACCAACCAAGGTATAACTTTTCAATGGATAAATTTTTATGTAAAAATTTCTCAAGGAACGAATTGTATCTGGGCCGCTACTTATTTTGCGGTACGGAGAGAATGATTCAATAGGGAGCACACGTATTTTTTATCTATTTTTTTTCTCAATCTAGAGTTTGTAACAATACCGCCAATAATTCCTAGCGGAACCTGGGAGGGGCGACGTGCACCATCTCTCTCGCACGTTAGCAGCCTAGTGTGACTGCCGTGCTGTGACGTATCAGTCCCGACACAGTAGATTCAAGCGTTTTATTTTCAATTCATTATTAAAATTGATAATCCATATAGAAATCAAATTTTTTTCATAGAATATTGTTTTCATGACGAAAGAATTCTTTCTTCAATCAAATGGAATGGAAAATAACGTTCCAAGTTATTATAATTATTATTTCTCTTTGTGATCAATTCCAGCCCTCTCTCAGATCTTCAACTCATTCTAACTAATGGATTTTATATTCTAGTTGAACCATCCGGAATTGCTGCAAATTTAGCCAATTACGTGTTCGACGACGATGAAGACCTCCATGACGTGATTCAGCTATTGGAAGACGATCAGGATGGAGATAGCGATTACCAGGTGACATCAGCTCCGAAAAAACCCAAAAAACTCAAGATAGTAAATGCAGATCTCACTGCAATTTTTGATAGAGCCAAACTCAGCGATCGTATGGCCGCACGAGTACTAGCAGCCATCTTGATCGCAATCGGAATAACCCTGGAAGAGGTTCATTTGAGTCCTGACACTCTTCGTCGAAATCGTCGTAAACAACGCAAGTTCCTCGATTCCAAAATTAGAGAAAATTTCAAAGACAGGCCCTCTCATATCCTAACGATTCATTGGGATGGCAAACAATTATCAGCGCTAGAAGACAAACTGAAAAAAGTCGATCGACTTCCAGTTCTTGTAACAGGCCATAGCTGGAATCAATTGCTCGGTATTGCTAGACTCGAGAAAGGATCCGGGGAATTACAGGCAAAAGCTGTTTATGAGTACTTGAAGGAATGGGGCATTGTTGATGAAATATGCGCCATGGTCTTTGATACTACTGCGAGTAACACAGGATCCGTAAGTGGCGCTTGTGTCCTGCTTGAAAAATTCCGTGGGAGAGATCTCTTGTATTTAGCGTGTCGCCATCATGTCTTTGAACTCCTTCTGAAAACTGCATTCGAATCATTGATGGAGAGTACGACCGGGCCTGATGTTTCGATATTTAGAAGGTTTCAAGGATCATGGAAAAGTATGAACCAAGAAGAGTTCTCACCCGGAGTGGAAGACAACGTAGTAAAGCAAGCCTTGCAGCAGAACATGGAAGACGACCTCACTTTCGCTCAAGAACAATTGAAGGCAAGTTATAATTGCAATTAGATTCATATGAAGATTATTCCCCCTTGAAACATTATGAATTTCAATGTTTTTTTTTTTAATTACAGAAAGGAAATATCCGTAATGACTACAGAGAATTTCTGGAATTGGTGGTATTGTTCCTGGGTGGAAAGTTGGCAAAAGGTTACCGTTTTCGAGCTCTTGGACCCATTCATCATGCCAGGTGGATGGCTAAAGCGATTTATTCCCTCAAAATATTTCTCTTCAGGGAACAATTTTGTTTGAAGCCAGCAGAGAAGTCAGGCCTAAGATATATGTGTATTTTCATCATACGCCTCTATCAGAAAGCTTGGTTTACGGCTCCAAATCCGGTTACAGCTCCCAACAACGACTTGATTCTGCTAAAAAATTTGCAAGCAAATGCGCCTGCCACTAGCGGTCTTCCTCCCGAAGTTTGTAAAGCAGTATTTGATAAATTCTCGAATCATCTATGGTATTTATCAGAGGAACTGATTGCTCTCGCATTTTTTGACGAAAACGTGAGTAGCGATTGTAAGAGGAAGATGTCTCAAGCAATTAAATCACGTTCTCCTCTCACTGATCGTAGGGAGAGAAGACAATTAGGGATCAAAGAACAGAAATCCATTCAAAATCTATCTTTAGACTCTTTTGTAACTCAGAACACTATGAAATTTTTTGAGATCTTGAAAATTGATCCCACTTTTCTTGATAGTGATCCAACAACATGGGAGAGGAGAGACGATTATAAACAAGCCCTGGAAGTTGTCCGACATTTACATGTGACAAACGATATTGCTGAAAGAAGCGTAGCTCTCGTAAGTGAATATAATAATTTGCTTACGAAAGATGAGAGCAACAAACAGCAATTGATGCTGGTTGTTAAGAAATTGCGAGAATTATCACCAGATTGTACCAAAGAGAGCATGGGGCGTTCATTGGAAAAATTTTTAAGCTCTTTCCCAATAGACTCCTCAATCAATGTTGTTTAAAATATTATAATTTTTGAAAAAATTTCCAAAAGTATTGGTGTGAATTTGAAGAAAATATGCAATATTATGTCTTTTTTTATAACAATATTATAACTGAAAGATCTCGTTGTTTTTTGCTGAATGTACTCAATTAAATAACAATGGCATAATTAGTAACAGTTCTGTTGTGAAAAATACTAAATCTATGTGACAAAAAAAAACAAATAAAAATGATGTGCTTCATTAAAATACACTTTCTTTGATCCATTTTTTATTCCTAACCATAATAGAAAAATATTTGAGACTCAACTCTAGGAAGAATAAGCAAAAATGTAGTTGCAATGTCAACAATTAAGTAGTTGATAATAATGCCTAGGGCAAATCGCATGGAAGAAAATCTAAACTGATTAAATAAAACTGACGGATAGACTAAATAGAATAACTTCACACCAAATTATGATATCGTAATCAATCAAGCTTTGTTGCAATCCACATGTAGAGAGGAATCCAAAAATATTCTACTTAATTGCAATTACGAAAAATTAACAAAAAAAATATTTTGGGAAAAAAGGATTTGGGTTATTTATTGCGTGCAATAAAGGACAGCGTTTTGTCCGAGAGAACACTCGGACGAGGAAGGGGTCGACCGACCCTATATCCATTGCATTATATGGCTCCTCATAATAACCCCGAGTAATCCGTGCACCTGACAATGTTGGCAAATTTGAGAATTTCCTTTGGCATTTTTTATCGACTTAAAATTGAAAAAAAAAGTTTTAGTCTTTTCAGAATGATAGTAGAAGAGTTGAAGAATCATGTATCGAGAGCTCAAATGGAACTGTCATTCCTAAAGGACCTTAAAAGGTCCTTCAATATCCCTGTTTTCAGCAAAAATCGAACATTTTTATTCACGAATAAATGAGTGAGAAAATTAAAAAAAAATATTTTCGCATTCAATGATGCTCTGGGAAAAGTCTTATGATCGGTAATGATAATTATGTTGATCATTACTTTACATAATATTGATTGTAAGATTTATATCATGCTTCATGTGTAAATTCCCATAAGAATATTCAAATCTCTGTGCTGCCCGAAAAAACGGTTTAAAAATTCGGGAAAAATTAACCTGGTCGTTTTTTTTCATGAACTATTGAATTGAGGCATGGGAAAATCAAAATTCAAGTCCTGGATGAAATGCTGCAGCTTAATGTCCAGTTATCAACTGTTCACCACTTCGCAACTGAATTTACCTCTTTCCTAATGTCCTATTCACTCAAACCATTACAGACTAGATCAATTAACTCAACAATTCTCTCATATTACAGAGATTCTATTTCTTGGAAGAGAATCGCAACGAATCCGGAGTGCCACGAGTAACAGAAGACATCAAAGCAGCAATAGCTGAAGTAGTGGGCACGCTAAGAATCGCCCAGGGGATCAAGTTCGCTTGAGGACTGGCTGACAGGAAAGACTACGTCAATGGGTGCTCATCGAGTAGCTAANAAGGCTACGTCAATGGGTGCTCATCGGGTAGCTAACAAGTATTCGATCCGACACGATTGTCACTACCTTTACGATAGCATTTGAGGACTTGAACATGGAGCCCAAGGATCCAAATGGGGTGCCATTTCTGAAAGAAAGGACAGATCTATGGCGAGGGCTCTTGGTATGAATTCAGCTAAAAACGACAGAGAATAACACAATCACAGAATTTCTCCGCTTGGAAATAAGATTAAATTTATTGAATTTCTCGTTTTGAATAAAAAATTCATTTACTTATTCAACTTTTTCAAATTTTCACAGGATTTGTTAGATACAGATAGTGTTTTTCTATATCGCACTCATCAAACCCCAGCACCATTGCACCATGAGCTTCTCCTCAGAACCTTCTATTTCGCCTACACAGTTAATGTCGATGTCCTTGGCTCTTCAACAACTGCTTGTACCCTATGATTCATCAATGGCCAAACGGTTCAGGTTCTAGCTGGTGCTTACCAGGATCATTCAACTTCAGAAGTGGCTGAGGAGATTGAGTGTGTGTGGTGGTTGACAAATGCCACAAGTTTCAATAGGATAGATAATTGTGGTTATTCGCAGATTGTGTGGGGCGTATCCCGAATGAATGCCTTCGTGATAATTTATAGAACCTTTTTTGCCACGAAAACACTTGAGACTTCTGTCTAATTTATCATGTCTATGGAATGTTTTGTTTATGATTTATGTTCTCAAATTCTCCTAGTTACAATCTCTATTCAGAAGAGTCCATTGTAAAGTATTTATTAAATGTTGGTGTTACAAAAAATTACGGCTGATCACGAATTTTGTTTCGAATTTGAAATATTTTGCCCAGATTGTTGAAACAGAAACTGAAAATTATCTGTTGGCACAATTGATTTTCCAATATGGCTGATGCTCCATCGATATTTTTGGTGGTTATTCGTCCTCGTCGAGTCGAAAATTATTAATGGGATTGAAATGAAAGAAAAATATACAGGTATATATGTGTGTGGTGGTTGACAAATGCCACAAGTTTCAATAGGATAGATAATTGTGGTTATTCGCAGATTGTGTGGGGCGTATCCCGAATGAATGCCTTCGTGATAATTTATAGAACCTTTTTTGCCACGAAAACACTTGAGACTTCTGTCTAATTTATCATGTCTATGGAATGTATTGTTTATGATTTATGTTCTCAAATTCTCCTAGTTACAATCTCTATTCAGAAAAGTCCATTGTAAAGTATTTATTAAATGTTGGTGTTACAAAAAATTACGGCTGATCACGAATTTTGTTTCGAATTTGAAATATTTTGCCCAGATTGTTGAAACAGAAACTGAAAATTATCTGTTGGCACAAATGATTTTCCAATATGGCTGATGCTCCATCGATATTTTNAATATTTTGCCCAGATTGTTGAAACAGAAACTGAAAATTATCTGTTGGCACAAATGATTTTCCAATATGGGTGATGCTCCATCGATATTTTAGGTGGTTATTCGTCCTCGTCGAGTCGAAAATTATTAATGGGATTGAAATGAAAGAAAAATATACAGGTATATATGGAGGATGAAATTCACGTTCATTTGAGAATATTGCCTTCATTTATTCGCATTTGTAACTCTTAAGAATTGATTAAATCGACTGTGGATAATACCGATACAAAATAACCTCAAGGTTTTTTTATTGTTATGAAGGAATGAAAATCGATTATTGACAGTTTCGTAGGCATTTCAATCACCAGAGGAATGAGAATATTGACGATATAATGATGATAAAATGTTTTTCAATTGTGAGGATTAGAAATAAACAATTCTGATAGCGTAGGATTCACTTCAAGGAGTACATTCTCAAAAATTTAGAGGCTAGCATGAGTTTACTCCGTTTGTTCTTTCGTTCTAACTTGAGCATGAGTGTAATTTCGTTGGTTTTTTTCTCATATTTTTCAGTCATTGTTTATGAACAAGAATGCCGTAAAAATCAGCTGTCTCTCCCGAGGAGGCAATCGCTGTAGTTGAGAAATTTATTGTCCATTTCACCACACATCAGTTGCCACCGGAATCTTCCGATATATGGGAACAGATGAGCAAAGCATTGGGCTGTAAGCCTAATAGTCAAACTCGAAAGTGGTCTAAGAAATGTGTCTACGTGAATGTGAGAGAAGATAGACGGAAAATATTGACTGACGCCCGTACAAACCAAGAAATTATACTTGAGGAAAAGCGTAACGCAGATTTGACTCAAGATCAATCAAAGTTGAATTCATCTGTAGATGTTACTCAAAAGTCGAGTGATTTTGAGACTGAGGCCGAGGCAGCCGGTTTACAAAAATTTGAAATTCTGATTAAAGCTGCAGAGTGGAAGCGTCTTCTGAATCCCGAACCGATTGAATACGGGGGCAGAATATATCGAGTGTTACAAAAGGATTTTTGGACTGATCTATTTGCCTGGATTGTGTGGAGTCAAATCCAATTACCCTGTGCCTTCGTTTTTAAACACGCCAAAATTTATGAAAGTGATGGCAGCAAATATTATTTAAAAATTACAGGACATTTCCGCAGTAAGAAGTGTAACAACTTGTTCATCGGGTATGTTGAGAAAAATCCGGGAGCCAAAGATTTCTACATGACTGTGAAGACTCATGATACAGCGATGAAACCCCATGAAGACGTACGACGTCCTTTGAGGGGCGAGAAACGAAAAGTTGTGGGGAAGGAGGCTTTTTTGGAGGGAGCTAGTAATGGGCAGAAAAGAGCTGTGAGAGAACAAAAATTGGGACCACATATACCCAAATTGCCTGTCCTTCATCAAGCCACAAAGAATTATAATGACAAGAAATACGACGTGAAATCGACTGATGGTCATGACATCGTAAAAACAATATCTGAAATGGCCAGAACTGCACCTTATCGTGGATGTATACACGACGTTAAAGGCGATAAATTTTACGTGTTTTACAGTACTCCACCTCAACTTCATGCATATAAACAATATTTGCGGGTTACACGACAAAACTCGACCATTGCGATTGATGGTACAGGGAGCTTGGTACAAGAAATCAAGCACATTGATGGTACCAAGTCAGGCCATATATTCCTATATGCCGTGGTAATCAATTTTGATCAGACGACGATGCCAGTATTCCACATACTTACAGAAAGTCAAGAAACTGAGGTGTATACTTGGGCATTACAAAAATGGTTTCGTCTATCAGCACCGAAACCTAAACGAGTTGTCTGTGATGGTGCAAGAGCTCTTCTGAATGGGATATGTTTAGCCTTCAATAATCAGACAATCAAGGCGTACATTGAAACTTGTTTTTTATATGCATCAAAAAATCGAGTTTTACTATTAATCTCCAATTTCTACATACATCGGCAAAGATGTAGCATATCTCATAAATAACATCCGTAATTGGCTAGCTTTCAAGAACATTCCACTCTCCATTACACGTGATTTTATCCTACTTTGTGTGGCTCTACTCATTGAATCCCAGACTCTTGAGGAATTCGAAGAGATTCTTCGATTGACATTGACGGTAGCATTACACCAGATAGAAGATTCTATAATCACTGCTATTCCTAATGCTACCGTCAAAGACTATCGATTGTGTCTTGCAAAGTATGTAGCAGATCGAAACTTGGTGGTAGAGGTACCAGAAGACTCTGCGGGCCAAGAGCAAGATAAAAACAATTCGAATGAAGGCGATCCAGACACCACAGGATATAGTCGGGTTAAGAACTATGTTGATG